GAGCTGCTCCATTTTGGCTCTTGCTCATTCTTCAGTCAGCAGCAAACTTTCTAGCACTCTGCTCTAGCTTTCCAGGACACACTTTAAAAAAAAAAGAAAAAAGGTAAATCTTGAGAAGCCACATTTAGCCTTTCAGATCTGCATGTTTAATTTGCAGGAGTAACAGGTTAGACTGACCTAGCTATAAATGAGAAAGGATGTCCAGCTGTGATGTATCTAACTGGTCTGAAAGCCTTTGCCAAGCTTCCACAGGCTTTTGAAACACAACCTATGATTTTCAACAGTGTTTCTACCTTTTTCCTCCCAACAGTGAAAGAGAAGAAACATGCCCACTCATTCTGCTACTATGCATCGGAGGGACACCCCTACTTCCTTGCTCCAACCTTAGATGTCGTCTTCTTTCCAGCAAAGCTATTTCCAGAGCTTATTTACCAGCTCATTCAAGTCTAGACTTTCTAATTTTGCAGCATAATCTGTAGCTCAGTCACCCATGAAACTGCTGAACAGCCTGCAATTGTGTACAAATCCACACCATGACTTGTGTTGCCTGAGCTCAGGTACAGTCATTAGTGACAGCATACAGCACTTTAATGGGAAGCTCTTTAAACCTGCCAGGAGCATTTGCCTGAAAAATATCTCTTCCTTTCCTCTCCTTCCCCTTAAATAGCTTAATTAATACCAAAGCCCTAGCTTTGGCTCCAGAAAGTGGCAAAAGCAGGGATCCTGACCGTGAAAGAGATACAGCACAGGACATGAACAGCTGGAAGGCTTTTTTTTCCTTTGTTCATTTAATGGCCCTGCCCAGTGTGACCCCCAGTCTCACTCTATCCCCCAGGCTCAGGCAGCACAAGAGACACTGTGCCCAGCAGATCTCCCAGAGGAAGCAGGGGACAAGATCACAGGGCACAATCCACTGACAATGGCACGCTTGGTGGTCTCCAGAGGGAAGGTGGATGGCTTGCCTGGCAGAAGGCTCAGGCAGATGCTGGCACCAGCCTGACTTGGGCAGCAGCATGTGAGAGGAGAGGGGGTGAAGAGGGAACTCCTGCCCTCAGCCAGGAGAGCTCTGGTGTCAGCTGATGGCAACGAGCCCTAAGGAAGGGAGCTGTGCTGAGCCAGCCAAAGCATCTGCCCTTCCCCACAAGCACCCAGGAAAAGGCTGCTCTGTGGTCAGGGCCAAGGCAATGACCCAGTGAGACCAAAGCGACCCAGCTGCAACACCCTCCCCATCCTCAAAGTAATCAGCTTTGCTCTCTCCCATGACTTCCACATTTGCTGAGTGTACTTGCTCCCACGTGAGCTGCAGCAGCAAGCCGAGCTATCTGCAGTAAGACTGGCATGCCTCGCCTGCTGCTGCAACTCCACAGATACCAGCAGAGGCATTACTCAGGCACCCGTGACCCTGCTCAGGGCTCCCACACCTCTTCCTCTCCCTCTCAGCTGTCCAAAGGATAATTCTTCTCAGGGCCATCTTAGGGCCTTCCCCTCACTGCGTAAACTCAAACCTCCCGTCCTTCGGCTGGGCAGCAAGGCTGTGGCACTGTGCATCCGTCCGTGCTAACAGGCAGAAAACCCATCTGGATGTGCACACAGCAACAAAAAACAAACAGAAGGCACCCTAGAGAAAAAAACAGCTCTTTCCCTGTCTTCTCTTAACCTGTCTTCCTCCAGTCCCCATTCTATACTCGCTTCCATGTTTAGCTGCTGGGCAGGCCATACATGCTCTTCCAGCCACTGTGGTCAGAGCACTCCTCTTCATCCCTTCACCATTTCTCTCCCTAGGAGATTTTGCCACTGGTCCCAGCACCCTCCTGCAGCAAGAGGTGGCCCATTACTGCAGAAATCTGCAAAGCAAGGATAGTAAGGGACCCACCCAGCATACCACAGCAAGCAGCCCCAGCTCTGTGCATCCCATTGCTGCGGAGTGTGGCATATTGGGAGACACTATACCTTCCTGGGAAGGGCTTTTGAGGGTTCTTGTTGGTCCCTGACCACACAGGATATGTGCTAACTGCTGAGAATCACAGGAACCCATGAAGATTGGTAGGAAAATCTGTTTCCAGGCAGGAAAGCACTTCTGGAAGACAGTACATGCTCCTCCTGTTCCACATCAGCATGAAAGGAAAGCCTTTCAAAGCTGCATGTGTTTGGTCAGTGGAATAGGATCTGCTGCCTTTCATTCTCCTGGATGATGCAAGGGCCCACAGCAGCCAGGAGGGGAATGTCCTGGGCTCATTGCTCCTCTGCCTGCCTCCCTCACAGCAAGCACCATCACCTGCACAAAGCCTGTCTCTTCCTGCAGCTTCACTAAAAATTTCACCTGAAACACCTTTTCCAACAAAACTACGGCAGCTGCAGGAAAAATTTTCAGTTTAACAAATCAACATCCCAAGGTGGTTCCTTCAGATAAGCCCTGAGCAGCTCCAGGCAAGAAGAGGCTGTACTTGGAGGCCACAAGAAGCGAGCTCAGCACAGCACTGAGGAAAGCCCACAGAGGAGCACAGCAGCTCCGTGCTGTCCCTCCATGGGAGGCAGGGCTCATCCCTGGCACACTCTGCACCTTGGGGCACAAAGCTTGGAACACAGCACTAGGCTACAAAGAAGAGTGTGGTTTGGATGGTGAAGGCAACTCAATCTTGGCAGCTTTGTGTTTTAAAGACAGCACTTTGGTACTCTTCGCACTCCCAAAGCATCCTGAACTGTTATTTACAATTTCCCCCAGGCAGGCCATAAATCCAAGCACAACTAGCAAGCTCAACACAGTGTAAAAGGATCCCAGAGGCAGACTAATTACCTTTGCAGGCTATGCAAGCCTGTGCAGATTTCTTCTGCACAGTAGCTTTGGAAATTTTGGCTATTGGCTGCCACTAACAGGTCAAACTTTCCACTTTCTATTGTTCTGTTCAGGGCAGCCAGCTGGGAGTTCAGGGGCAACAAATCTCCAGGGGAAGAAATCAAGGCCATTAAGGGAAAGGGAAGAGAATCTGTGAATCATAAGAGTACTCCACACACTTTTCTGATTCCAGCAGAAAAGACAGTAAGTGAAGACTGAAAGGAAGCCTAACAGATTATACGAGGACTAAAATCAAAACCACCACCAAACAGAAAACCCTACAACTCCCATTCTCCTGAGACTGTAGGGATTACTTCTCTCCAAGTACTCTATACCAAGGTGACAACTTCTTTTTCGTTTAAATTATTTAGCACAGTAAAAACTCACTTCCCTCATCTCTCGAGACAGAAGGTCAGAAGATTTATCAGAGGCAGAGGTGCTGCATCTTCCACATTTTCTCACCTCCACAGAAGTGTGATGTTCAGCCTGCAGCTAATTTCACATGGATCTCTCCTAACAAACACCTACTAGCTCTGTTTAGACATTGACTATCCAGACAACAATGGTTATAGCAAACACCTGAATTTTTGAGGGGGTGGGGATAAAATATCAGACTCAAATCATTGCTCTGGACCAAGCACTGCATGAAGCAACCAGAATATGCCATTTTCTGAATGAAAGCCTGGGCTCACAAGCTATTGTCTGGTCTAAAGCAACACATACACTCTTTCACTCTAATCATAAAAATGTCCAGAATTAAACTTTTACTTAGTTGGCATTTCCCCATGAAAATCATCAGTTGCAATCTCTTGAAAGTTTGAAAAAACCTCTCATCAAGTAAGAAAAACTAACATGCTGCAACTGGGCTGTGAAAAATCCTGACAAGCCTATTATCCAGCTGAACATCACACTGGTAATGATTAAGCCCCCTCCCACGGGAACCACACAGGTTAAATTACTTCCCAATAAAAGTGTAATGTCTTCATTGGTAGTTTAATTTTTTGGTGTAAGATTCTCACTAGAGATTACATGAGCAAAGGCAAGAGAATTAAAAAAAAATAATGTATCTTGGGTACCATGTCAGGTATAACAATGAAGTGCAACACAGAACAAACTCTTGTCTGTTGCACTCAGGCCTCTTTCCCCATGGCACAGACCAAAAATAAAACAAAAACTGTGGAACTTAACACTACAAAATACTCTGTGCAAAGTAAGGATACTGTGCTAAGTCTTGATGGGTTAGATACCATCCACAATAGGAAGTAAATAAAATTTTATGAAGATCTGTACAGCAACTTCCAGGATATAATTAGATAATACTTTTCCAGAGCCATAATAAAGAGGAGAAAATTTTGTGTTTTCTTCGGTTGGTGTGGTGCTACCTGTTAATTACAAACAGCCAAGGAAGCAGGAGATGCTCTCTGGAACATATCCAAGGGACACAGATTAGGCTGGTGGCATCATGGATGCACCCTCCAAAGGCAAGGCCTCCGGAGGGGGATTTCAAATGTTCTGGCCACAAGTTTGCTAGTCACCCCAGATGGGAGCATGTAGGTATTTCTTACAAGCTATCCCTCAAGTTTCTCTCAGAGATTGTTTTCCTCCTCATGAAACAGACAAAACCACCACCACCACCATCCAAACAAAAACTCAAAATTACCCAACCAAAAAAAAAAAAAAAAAAAAAAGAGTTGATAAAAGGATTTCAGAGCCTTCTAACATATTTTTGCTGTAACTTTACAATCCTGTGGCAGGGATACAGGATATTTCTGCAAGTAATAGAGGAAGTTCTGAAAAAGTGCCAGAGTACAAACTGCTAGAGGCAGCCAAAGTGGTCAGTCTCCCACTGAGCTCAATATTGCAGGGTGAAATCTACTCCCATTACACATTATGGCTATGACCCAGGTAACTTCTAGGTTTAAAAAAACAACAGACAAACCCAAACTGCCTTATAACTTTTAAAACGAGCTCTGAGACAGCTTCACAGACTGCTTTGTAGTAACCTAAAGAAACAGCTGCAAAAATCCTCCTTAGCAAAATTTGGGCTAAAGCTTTTGCAATCAATGTGATTCTGGTTTGACCAGTTTGAACAAAAGCAGGAAGCCAGAGAACAGCAAACCACATACTCAATAAAGCCCATTTGTATGGGCAATGAAGGGATACTCACGCAGCGCGTACAGGGAGAGGACTATTCCAGCCAGGCAAAATCCCTCGAAAAACCTGAGTGTGCTGAACATGGTCACATTCACTGAGAGTGCCACAGTCAGTCCAAATATCAAAATGAATATGACAGAGAAGAGCAGTACAGGCCGTCGACCAACCCTAAAAGTAAGGAAGTATGGAAACAGTGTTAAAAACCAGGATGGACATAATGCTGGATCATTAAAACTGGCAAAGAGGGGAACAAGTCAGGCAATCCCTTCCAAATATTGCTACCCATTTTTAATGTTTGTTCCATTCTTCTCCTTTTTTCCTTACTGAATCCCAGATTTCTCTGCCAGCTTTGCATTGACAAGTCCATCTCAGAAAGGATTAAGCAGAGACAGCACATTGTATTGGTGCTCTATTTAACCAGCATTTTCAAAACAACAAAGATAAACAAGGAAACATCTAGGAACTACTGTAATGCCATAAATAAGTCCTTTGGAGATGAAAATCAACTTCTCAGAGTTTTTTGTAGTAGCACAGAAGGATATATGGTATTATATACTACATGACATAATATATTTTTAGCTGCAGAGGTCTCCTCTTCCCAAGAGACGTGTGATTTTCAGTCTCATCTACAAGAGCAGCCAGCTCAGGAGACTACTTTTCTTTGTCTCATTTGTTGAGGAGAAGCCTAACAAACATGGACTGAACACAAAACAGGGCTCAGGTCACTTCACTGACCCTTAGAGAGTCGATAATAAAACTCACAGGAAAATTGTGAGCTCCAAGTCCCTCCACTATGTATCCCCATAGCTGTTGGACAGACCCACAAAACCAGCCTGACTGGAGGGTAGGGTGAGGAATAAATCACTTCAAAAACATTACAGGCAACAGGGGTAGAGGACTTGCAGCCCTCCTTTGCAGATGCAAACCTGTAGTTGCATGCATTGGTACAGTGCTGATGAGGAGGACAAGTTATGCTAGCACTGAATGTGGGGGCAGCTGCTGCAGAGTTTGGCTCTTTCATGTCCAAGGAACATGACATTTTTACCATCTCTTTTTCATATGTTTAGTGTTTATAATTCCCTTTTCCCTCCCCTCTTTCTGTGCAAGGAGAATGATATGAAGCACCAGAGCACATGGCTATTTTTAAGCAAGAATTGGATCATTATGTGGAGATTTCCAAAATTTTTCAACTTGTCAACTCCCACAAGTTTTCCAGTGGAACTGAGGATCCCTTTTAGTCAGCTCCATATGCCATTTTCACAAAGAATACATGAACTTGCTTTTCGTAGGCAGCTTTCACAGACCCATTCAAAGCAGACTGTCAGCTGCAAGCCAGCCATCAGGTTGAATGTCAGCACAATAAAGAGCATTTAAATCTCACAACTTAGTCCAGTTTCACATGCTGTAGCATTTCTATTCAATTATTTCAGCAGATTGTCACCAGCAGTTATAAAATACGTTATACATATGCATTCACAATTAGAACTTTGGATTTTGCAGTACTTAAAATAAAATAAGGAGCGAAGGGCTGAAAAAGAGACATCATTATAATTTTTTTAATTTCTGGGAACTGAAAGAGTGTACCAGTCATCATTCAGGCTTTTTCAAAGTCACACCTAAGAAAGTGTTGTCACGGCTCCTTGCATGAAAACAGGTTTATTATTATTTTCATCTATAGTATCACCTGTGAGGCCCCTCAAAGATTTAACTTGTTGGTATTAGCCATTCAAAGCTTTTAAAACAGAACCAACATGCAAGCTGAAGAAAGCAAGGTCAAAGCAGGCTGCTCTCCATCAGGGTACAAGCACATCCCATGGAAGATGAGCTGCAGTGGGGCTGAGGGTGGGAACAAAATATCACTGGCTCTGTGATGCACAACACACTGGGGACACGCTGGACATGGGGAGTGACTGCTGTCTGTGCTTCACGTTTTGTATTTAAGGAGCACAGCCCTTGGGCAGGGAGGGGAGATACCTCATGTAAAACCTTGAATACAGAAAAAAACCCCTGTGAACTTTGTGTTATCAGCTATCTGCACAGACTTTTGCAGCCCCATTTTTGTTATGCCAAGCTGTAATTCATACCAATTAGTATTTGTGGAAGTGTTTTGCAGATGAAAGGCATTATGCAAACACTCAGAATTAGGAACTTAATTCTCATCACAAGCCTGACCTGCCATTCCCTGATGTTGATTGAAAAAGACCTCATGCTTAGCATACTTCAGCTCCCTTCTTCCCCTCCTCCCACCCCCTGTACTCAAGGTTACCCATCATTAGGACACAGAATTTCTTCTACCATTATACAAGTGACACAAATGAATTGTTGCTGCTAATGAAAAAAATATCAGAAAATCCAAGAGTGTCCTGAGCCCATAAAAACCAACTGAGGCCAGAAAAGCCCTCTGGTAAGAGGCATTTCCTCACAAGGACAAAACTAGTCATCTTCTTTACCAAGGCATGCAGCACACTTCTCAAAAAACCCAAGCTTCAGGGCAGCCATCAGCCATATATTGGGTGATCCAGCAGTGTTTTGACAGGATGGTGTCTTAGAGCATAAAAAAAGCGCCTTTTATATGCAGACAGAATTACCTGTCTAACAGTACATGGAAATGCTTGTAAGAAATTAAACCATACACAATTTCCCTGGTAAAACAGCCCCAGGATGCTATCTGCTGCTATCCAAACTGTTCCAGAGAGAGATTACTGCACCACGGAAGTCTCAACCTACACTGCATGCTGCTATCTAGATCAAATGCTAAATGCTGCCTGCACAGGTAAACAACCAGGGATACAAGCAACCCCGGGCTTTTGAAGCATCTGCAGCCCCCACACGGTATGATAAGCAAATACATCAAAAAGATATTCCTGATGTCACAGTTGCACTGCAGGGGGAGATTGAACGGGCTGAGGACAAGACCTGCTCTTCCCACACTCCTACACAGGTACCTTGGCACCCTGAGATAACCAAGCTTTGCTCTCACAGCTGGTCAAATTGCCCTTCCCATGCAGGCTCTCTCTTGCCTTTGGGACTGGAACTACTCAAAGGCTCCAAAAAGCATCAGAGTAGGTGCAAACAGGGTCACTACAGGGCAATGAGGGGTACAGAGCTACTGTCTTGGTGCTACATGAACACCATGCCCACCTGCTCCAGGAGGAAACTTTCCACACAAACCTCAATGGGCTCTGTCCAGAGCAGGCAGAACTGCCAGCAGCATTCTCTGCCTGTGGAACAAGTAACTTATTCAGACATTGGACACAGCTGGCCTTCCCACAGCTGAGCATGTTTGCAGACCTTCCTCCTATAGAGTTTCCACACAGAGCTGTCCCAGTGTGCACACCTACTGTGTTTTGAACATGGAGCACTTGGCTTACTTAGCAAATTGCCTTAATACACTCTATGCCTTGGCCTCATTCAGCTTTAAAAGCTTCTTTCAAAGACGAAAAGCAAAACCCCTAATGGCATAAAAATCCCAAAACATCTTCTAATTATCTGATCTGGAGAGTGGTATATAAGTGAAATGAAAACAGATTTTGAAATTTTATAACACTTTTTATGCATTACTCTGTTTAATTTCCCTGTGTCTTGCTTGGGACTGACATCCTTTTTTTCTTAATTTTCTCTTTCTACCAGGTACAATCTATACAACCCCTTTGTATCCATCTCTTTACACAACCCCACACTTTAGCAGAAATTCAAGCTGTGATTAAATAGCAAAGTAAATTCCATTTAAGTCTTCTTTTACCAGCCCCAAATGCTACTGCTAAATGGCAAAAAACCTACTGAGCACAGGAGTCCTGCTATGTCAGGTACATCAGCTGGCAATATGGACCAAACAGGAGTATGAGGACCAACTTTGGTGGCAGCAAACCATGTCCATTCTAGTCATCCAGAAAGGGTCACTGTTCCCTCCAGCCACCAAGTTACCCTTTTTCTCCTTTGCACCACAGCTGGAAACCGAGTCTCCTAAATTCACTAGACACTTCTAGATATTTGAAAATCAGGGTAATTTTATGCTGCATTAGCTCAGCTAAGCAGCTTACAGAGGGGTCCAACAAGCTCATGAGGCAGCACAAAGTACACACTGGAGACAGAAATGGATGGAAGAACAGGATGCTCCTTTTGGTGGCAGAGAGCTATTAAATCCGCTTACTGCGGTTCTCTCTCCAAGCCAGTGCCTTGGGCAACAAGTTGTTCACTTATTTGTGGCTTATTTGTCAATTATAGCAGCACTTTCCTAACTTGGTAATCAGTCTGCTTTCTCCTCACTGATTCCATTTTAGGACAGCCAAGCAAGATCCCTCATTCATTTCCCCTCTATACTTTCTATGGGCTCTTAGAGTCCCATTTTACTGTGGTATTTTAATCAAATTCAACTGTATTTCATGCATGCTCCCTGCTGCACTGAAAAGTCATGATTTGTCTCTCACCCAAAAATTTTCAGTGACTATTCAGGAATTAAATGCAATTTTGCTAGGAATGCTTGATCCAAATTACTGCAGTGCTGCAGGGGGCTTTTCTCTCCCAAGTGGCTGGCGAGTTGCTGAGGTTTTATAAGATTTCCCTAATAGGCAACTCTTCTTCTTTTCCTGTTTTAATGAATGGCAAAAGAGTTAACTTGGGGCCATTAAAGCACCAACACAACAAAGTGACTGGGACAGCACTGTAGAGCTATTGTTTTAGATGCTTCAAGTTTCCACTGACATCACTTGAGTCATCCATGTAATATTTTCCCTCCATCTTCAGCAGTACAAGACCACCTTTTTAAATTAAAGCTGAATCCTCAGCATCATTGAGGTATCCAATAATGTTTTAACTGCCTCAATTCAAGGAATCATGATTTACTCTTTTTGAGTTTAATACCCCAATACTACCAGCACATAAGTCAGCGTTAAATCCTTAACACTACATCACAATGTTTGCCTAACAAGAACTTTAAAAAAAGAACAGTTGAAAGGTTTGCAAAAAATGGCCTTCATCTCACCGAAAGGTACTGTGTAAGCACAGGCTGACATTACATTAGTCATGTATTCAGTGAAATCAATGCCACTTCCAATTTCTTTTGGTCCTCTCACTTCATTAAGAAAACAAAAACCAACCCTAAACTAAAGGTTTTTCTTGTATAATTAGAAAATACTTAATTCTAAACTAGCTTTACAGCTGTAATAAATTGTGTCAGTGGGAAACAAGTAAGCCAAATATCAAATAGTTTGTGCTACTTAGCTTGATATAAATTACTCAGAAACAATTAACACACTTTTACACTGTTTGTCCATCATGAGTCTTTCAGAACCTTAAAAATCATTATGCAAAGGTTCCCAATGAATATAAAGTAGAAGGCAATCAAAACAATATTTAATACTGTTATTTATTTATTTATAGTTACATTGCATTAAAAGATTTTTCACTTACCAGTCGGCTATACATCCTGTTATCAAGTGGCCAAAGATTAATCCTACAAGCAGGGAGAACTTAGCAATGTGGACTTTCCAGGCAGAATCACAAACAAGATCCCACTGGAAGAGAAAAAGAGATAGATAAATTGAAATAAATTAATATCTCAGATGTGTTTAAACATACTAATACAGTGTAGAGTTCCTTCCGAAAGTCAGTCCTGGTACAAGTGCAAGGAAATGGCAGAGGAAAGGCAGAGGAAAACTTTCCCCCTCAAGTCTAACCCCAGACACCAAGAAGCAACACAAGCACTCATACACCTCAGTGAGTTTTATCAGATCCTTAATTATAAGATGACAATATCTTACAATTAAGGGTCCCCCTCTCCAGGCCACAGGAGGTTAGCCTAAGGGGAAAGCTCCACCAGGTGCTGGCAGCGCTTGTACTGGTGCTGCTGGAGCATCTCACCATTCCAGCCCCAGACACCTATTACCAGAGCCCCACGGAGCCCACCAGCAGCAAACCCAACAATTTAAGAGCAAGTGTTCCAATTAATCTCCTCAGGGCTGCTTGGAAACATGGGGAAAGCAGCTCCTTTGCCACAGACCCCTAATGGCCATTTGCTCCAGGCTCTCACAGTGTCACGATGCTGTCACTTTCAGAAAAGCATCTTGATTTCCCTAGGTGGTGGAAGGGAGGTGAAGACTGAATAAAGGCACAGCTTGTCAGGACAAGTCCTGGCATGGAGCCAGACAGAGCAGCTGGAAGTCCCAGTGCAACTTCTTGGGACAGCAGCCCCACAGTGACTTTTCACAGCTCAGAGACCAGTCAGGATCTGAACCTCCACAATAAAGCTATGCTAATACTGAAATTAACCCTTGTGTCCAAAGAAAGGGGAAATGGGCTATTTCAGGCAACCTGTCACTAGGACACTGCTTCATTCCCATGAGAAAGATAGGAACAACAAGGTTTCTAGTGAGGCTTCCCTAAACTCCAAGCCATTTTCCTCTGAGGCAGAGGAAACCAGAAGAACCAGACTGCACTCCTGGCTTTAGCCCAACATCCTCATTGCCCTCAGACATGAAATGTAATCTTTCTTATGTGTAAAGTGTGGATAGTTACTCTTATATCCTTGAATAAATGTAAGAGGATATGTTTGCCCGTGGTTTGTGAAGTGTTCAAATATTGATGGTAATGGCAGCCACACACTTTTCATGACAAATAAGTACAGCTAACTTCGGAGAGTCAGATACTCCAGAACTGAAACTTTGCAGAATAAATGGCTGTTTGTGTGTAATGTAATAGTAGCAGCCCTTCTGACACCAGTAACTGAGGTTTCATAGCCAAAAACATAAAGTAAAAGTATGCAATTAATTTTTAAAAGTCAGACGCAACTTCAAAAAAAAAAAAACCTTTCCTCAAAAGAGTTCAATTAGGTGCACTGCACTTTTAAGCGTTTCCATGATGCACCGCCCTTCCACAAACAAGGCAAGACTCAGCCCTCTGGTCCAACACCACAGATGTCCTTGCTACAATATACACCTCATCAAGAGGTATAGCAATTTTGTGGCTAAGAGAAATGTGCAAGCACTCAGGTTCAGGCTTTTTGTTTAAGTTAAACGTATTTTGAGTTTCCCACTCATGATTTGTAGAAGTTGGGACATATATGTCTCATCTTCCACCCTACAGACTGGAGGCACTAAAGAACCATAAGCAAGTAGGATGAGGAAGGATTTTTTCCACCAAATAGCTATGAATAATTTGCAGCAAATAACTCAGCAAGTCACTGTGGATTGCTCTCCAAAAATGTTGACTTTTCAGAAGTAAGTAGCAGAAATGCAATTACTAATACTAGCAATTCTAGAACCAGTCTCCACCTAGCAAACAAAAATATCTGCCCAGACAAGCTACAAACAAAACAAAATTCAGAAGATACATCTGAGGCAGAGGCAGGCTTTAAAATTCTCCAGATTAATTTTCACGATCCAGAAGATGTATATGCTGCTTAGAACTGAGAAATCCTTTTTTTTTTTTTTAGGTAAAAACTAAGTTTAGTAAAAATATTCATATTTATACAATAACAGATTTAAAAATTCAATCATTTGTTTTTATATTAATTGATGTCAGAGGAACAGTAGTGTCCTTCAAGTGCAAAAAGAAAAAGGAGATATCCTGGTGTCTTTCCATTTTCCCAGCTTGCTGTTGCTAGCCAGTGCTAGCCAGCCCTCACACAAGCCCCAGGCAGGGAATGTGCAGTACCAGACTACACGTAGGCAAAGGCTCATGGCTGGAAGAGCCAAAATCTCATGGAGGGCTCTTGTGAAATTTCAGTCCAGGACAACAGATGTCAAACCCCTCTGGCACACTGGCACAGAGAGCAAGTGTTTAAAAGCAGGAGAAAAGTCAGCGTATCAGCTCATCCTTCAGTGGTGCCCAAAACACACCCACTCCTCTTGATAACTTATCTGCAAGTCATCCTTTGTTTGTTTGTTTTTAAGGCTATTGTCCAACTCCCCAGCTGGTCTGAAAACAAAAACACGTATTTCCTTGCAAACCCTGCATCTGGCCCTTTCCTGCCCTCTGTTAAACCTCACAGCAGGAATCAGAGCTGATCCTCCTCCACACGGGCAGACTCTTGACAGACCAGGCAGCCCCTGACCTTCCCAAAATATCTCCCTCTGCAAAACCCTTCAAATTTGTAAATACACAAATAGTGAAATACATCAACCATTGCTTTAACACACAATTCTGGAGAATCTGCCATGACCCCAAGTTACTTGCTCTGTACTAAGAGGTGAATGATATCCTGGTTTCTCCTCTGGCAGCTGTCACAAACCAGAGAGAGGTCACCATGAAGCAGTTACTCAAAATAAATTTGGCAGGACAGTTGTAGGTGCCACCAGGGCATTCAGCTTGCAAAAGGAGATGAGAATAAGGAGAAAGAAGAAAAATGGATGCTGAAGTCAAGAGCAGCCTCAGGTAAAGATGACATTAATAGGACAAAATACATATTTAATAGCAAGCGTATCATCCCCACATATCTTAACACAGCAGCAGAGCAAACCAGCAAAGCTTTGTCATGCTGAAAGCACAGAGATTTTTGCCAGAGACCTGTGTTCCCCCTTCCATTCCCCATGGAAAAGCCTCATCTTTGAAGAGCTAGGAATAAAGCAGGAACCTTTATACAACACCAGTGCTGCCTCTCCCCTTACAAGCACCTGGGCTCAGCAGAGCAGAACAGAGCTGACATGTGCCCACATGGCACAGCTGTGCCCACAGCCATGGCAGGTCCTGCTCCAAGCACCAGTAGTTTCATCCTGCAAAGATGACACTCAGATTTTCTCCAAGGAGAAAGGAGTGACGAGCTCCCATTCAGAACAAAACACTGGGGTGGGCAGAGCTGATGACAGTTCAAGTGGCACTCCAAGTAAATCTGCACTGGGAGATTGTTTTGGCTGGAAACTGGACACAAATCCTCTACCACCTCTTGTAAAGGGTAGATTAATCTGTTACAAGCAGGGAAACCATTAAATCCTATAATTGCTCTGGCTGAATCCCCTGGTATCCCACTTGGGAGCTGACAGTGTCAAGGCTGAAGAAAGAATGCTTCTAACCTATCCCTGGGATTTCTCTGTGTGCCCCTGGGTTTTGTAAGTCCTTCTGTCCTCCATCCATCTTCCCAATACAAGAAAGAGACCAGATAAAGTGACTTGCTAAACAAAAACAACTGTATTGTTATGCCAAAACAAAAATAACTATATTTAAAATATGTTGGTGGAAAAGGAACGTTAAAGAGCAAAAACTTCTTTTTCATAGAAGTACAGCAACATAGAGAATTTGCCACATATGCAGATGTGCAACGTATTGCAAGTGTTTTTTTCATGTTGTAACAGGATATTTTGGTCAAAGCTGAAGGAGTCACACCTTCAGTAGCCTAATGTTTAACTCGTATCAGTGAGTCACTGCCCATGCTGTGACTCACTATAATTCATGGTAAGATGAAGGACTATTTAAAACATGGGATGTTTGGGAAGACACCTGGCAAAAGGTAACACACCCAAATAGTAACCATCCTGTAACTTCTTTACAAAGGGTGAAAATCTGGACAGGGCTCAAGCCGTGCACCAGTATTTGCTCTGCTATAAGTGATAAAAGTCAAGTCTGCTGCATGTTTGTCACTACAAACACAAGCTGTCTGAATTAAGGGCTCTTGTCTCAAAAGCCCTTGTGCTCAGGTGGCCATAATGCTGTCTGTGGCACCTAAGCGCACTGAACACCCACTCCTAACAGGGAATGCCTGTTGAGGATTTGGCTGTTCTACCTTCACCACCTTATTACAAGGTATGCAAGGCAGACCCTTCTGTCCTAAAAAGGAGCAATGAGAAAGCAGGAGAGATCCTCTGGTACAACGCTAACCCAGAGTCTGGCACAAAAATCCCATGAGAGAGGCACTGGACACACACCCCCTCTTCCCACACTGTGGTTTCACAGTCTGCTTCCAATGCTTGATGCCCAGGTTGCTGCTGAAAAAAAGCACCCCCTTCCCCAAACAGGTGGATTGCAGCTCTGCTGTGACTGCTCTCTGCAGTGGTTTCAGCAAGAAGACACCAGAGGATCACCAGAGCTGCTGCCTTGGAAGGCTCCAAGCCTGTCAGCAGCAATGAAGCTGCAGCCTTGGTCCTTCCCCAGCCAGGCAGCACCTGGCTGCTGTGTCAGCCTTCACACTCTCCATCTTGACGCCTCACACACCAGCTATGACCTCCCAATCCCTTGAGTGAAGGTCCCACTTGGGGAGCCCTGTCCTCTATGTATCATGTATGTCACAGCAGCATCAAACCCTGCCTGGGGAAAAGCCACCAGCTTGCCTGCTCATCAGGGAAAGATTTTAGGACCAATAAATGAAAATAAGAATCAAGTCTTCGTCACTGAGGTATGCTTTGTTCCTTTCCTTCCTGTTCCATCTTTTTACAACCAATTTACCCTGCACAGAACTAGAATCCATCTTCCATACAAACACCTTATCCAGTGAGACTTCAAATTTGTGATGCCTTCATATTATCTTAGAATGTTTTTTTTCTAAAATGCTCCAACAACCGGAAGCAAAGTTATTTTTAAAAAGAAT